TTCTTCTCCTTTCAAAATAGATTTTTTTGGTTCAATTTTTATTTCATTAAAAATTGAGAATTTTTTTGTTTCATCTTCAACAAAAATATTTAGTGTTGGTGGTGGTTCAAAAACATTTAAAGAACAAATAGATTGATCTTTAATTTGTTTTTCGGTAGAATCAAAGATGTTGAATTCTACTTTTTGATCATCAAATTCTATTGTTAATGAACCACTAGACACATCAATTTTTGTTTTAGCGGTTTTTAAGAAGGGTCTTCCCAAAAGAATTGGTGTAGTTTGGTTATCATCTCCCATTTCCAGAACATAAAAATCAACAGGGAAAATCAAATTTTCTACTTCTACTAGCACATCTTCTACTACACCCTTCAGGTAAGTATTAGACCGATCCGCCAGTTGAATCACTACACCAGTTTGATGTAGTGGGCCGAGTTGTAAGGATTTATACAAGGAATAAGGAATGACATTTATTGATGCTCCTAAATCCAACAAGGCTTTAGAAAAATTGGTGTCCCCTATTTTGCAAGGAATGGTGAACATGCCCGGGTCGCTACATTTTTTGGGAAGTTTCTTTTGGAAAATGGCCGAGACACGTTCACTAACCTCAACTTTTTGTTTCCCTACCAGTTTATTTTTCTTTTTTATTGTGCATAGTTCCTTTAAGAACTTTGCATAACGGGGAACACTTTTGATCATTTTGAAGAGTGGGATGTTTACCTCAGAATCGGCGAAAGTTTTATAGACGTCAGTATCTTTCTCCAGCTTCCTTGTCTCCATCAATGCCTCGGGGAATGGGGCTACTGGTTCATACGATGAAAATGGAGGAAGTTTCGCCTTTGTGGTTCTCTCTTCAGATTGAGCTTCTTCTTCATGATCAACCTCCTCGATCTCTTGGTCATTCTTTTCTACCTCCTTCAACATGATTGCATTCACATGTTGTCTCGGGTTTTGCTCCGTTTGAGATGGGAGTTTACCCGAGTCTTTTGCTTCCAATCGGTTTACGGCATTTGAAATTTGGCTAACTTGAGTTTCCAAATTTTTAATGCTTGACTTTGTTTCATGTTGGAATTGTATCATGGTTTGTTGAAATTGTCCCATGCTTTGTTGCATGGTAACCATGTTTGAAGTCAAAGCTCTTATCATGTCATCAGTTGACATATTAGGTTGAGAATTTGAGCCTTGATTGTTGAAAGGTGGTTGAGAAGATGGGTTGGATTGTTGGGGGTTTCCATACCTTAAGTTTGGATGATCCCTCAATCCGTGGTTGTAAGAGTTTGAGAATGGGTCGTACCTTCTTTGTTGATGTCCTTGGAAACCCAAGGCGTTGACTTGCTCAAAATTCTCCTCTTGTATTGATGGACATGAATCGGTCGGATGCCCTTGTGTTGAACATATGCCGCAAACCTTCACTTCTTGGGTTTTGGGTTTTAAGAGAAAATCTTTAACCAAAGAAGTCAAGCCGGCCACTTGACTTTCCAACGAGGTGTTGGATTCTGCCACGGCAACCCTTCGGGTTGAGGATCGCCCATTGTAGTATCTAGAATTTTCGGCCAACTCCGAGATGAGGTTTCTTGCTTGAGAAGGGGTTTTGTTAACAATCCCCCCTCCACTCGCCGCATTAACCATGCGCCTATCTTGATCCGCAAGACCATCATAAAAGTAAAGGATGAGGTCTTGCTCAGTGTACCCATGATATGGGCAACTAGCACACAACTTTTTGAATTGCTCCCAATATTCATATAAGGACTCATCATCTTTTTGATCAATGTTGCTTATTTGTTTTTTCAAAGACGATGAGACAGAAGCGGGATAATACCTTTCTAGGAAGCATTTCTTCATTGCTGCCCATGTATCTATACTCCCCGAAGGAAGATAGAAAAGCCAATCCTTTGCGGTGTCTTTAAGGGAGAATGGAAAAGCCCTCAATTTGATTTGTTCCTCGGTGACTCCATTTGGGCACATGCTCGTGCAAACAATATGGAATTCCGAGAGATGTTTGTTCGGGTCCTCTCCTCTTAGCCCGTGGAAGGAAGGAAGTAGATGGATAAGCCCCGATTTGAGCTCAAAAGTATTACCTTCATTGAGTGTAGGGAAGGTAATACACAATGGTTGTTGGTTGAGATTTGGAGCGGTGAGCTCCCTCAATGTTCTCGTCTCTTGAGCCATAGTGATTGGCTCTTCGTTCTCGCTAGAATAAGAACTAGCGCTTGATGATTCCTCCGAAGAAGTATTCGGAAATAAATTCCTAAACCTCTCGAAGGCTTGTTCCGTTTCGGGATTTGTTTGGTAGGTGATTTGGTTTATAGATCGGTGTTTAACCATATACTCAAACAAAGCTCAGAAATAGAAAATAAGAATTCTTTATATTTTTATTTAATTATTTTTTTGTTGATTTTTCTTGGAATAAAATAAAAAGAAAAATAATTGCCTTTCCCCGGCAACGGCGCCAAATTTGACGTGCACTTTGTCGTGAGGTGCACTCAAAATAAATATCAATACGACACCAATACGTAGTATAGCGAAGTAAGGTTCGTATCCACAGGGAAAAGAATATTTCTCTTTTTAATTAACTAGTAACAAAGGGGGGTTTTTAGATTTGATTTGATTTAATTAACACTAAGATGAATGACTTAAATGAGTTTAATTAATGAGAAGGAGACTTGGCTTTGCTTTTATCCACTTAATGAAATGTTCGTCGATCCCAGTTATATCTTTAACTATCTTCCTCTCGAATACTCAATCGAGGAGTATATCCAGTTCATCGAGGGTAATTATTAATAACGAGAAGCGTTCATTAATAAAACTTACTATCGAGTCAATATAGAACAAGCGCCGTATATTAACTTGATAGTAGCAATAAACTTAAGATGAAAACGATTGAGATTGATAACCTCAACACAAGCGGTTTATTGGTTTAATCAATATAATTAATTCCCCTTAGATTATTAACCATGAGATGCATGCATTAATAATCCAAGTTTACTACCATGAAAGGACCGAATTAATAACAAGCGTATTAATCGACCGATTCTAGTATTAATTAATATATGAAACAAAACTAGTTGATCCTTTAAGTAATGTTCAAAATATTAATATGAAATATGAATAGGAATTAATTAATACTCAAGAAAGAATATTAAAGAAGATGAATCCTACTATAGTTAATATCAAGATGTTAACTAATTGTCATCTTAGTAACACTCCCCAATATTAACGTAGAGGAAGAAATAATTATTACTATAACTAATGTCAAGATGTTAACTAATTGTCATCTTAGTAACACTCCCCAACATTGATATAGAAATAGTATTTAAAGGAAGAATTAATATTCAAGGAAAAAGATTAAAGAGAATAACTCACAACTTACAAATTCATTAAGCTTCAAAGTAGCAAAACCAAGATGGAAGAGTTTAGCTCCTCATTTGGAGACTAAACATGCTATAAAAATATAAAAGAAATACTATTCTAAACTGAGCTTAAGAGTATGGAAGAAGGGATGATTAAAAGTGAAGGAAAATGGGGTTATTTATAGGTGTTTTCAACACCTAATGCCGGATACCCGGCCGGGTATTTTGACATACCCGACCGGGTATTTACCAAATCAAATATTTTCCCATGTTTTTGTGTCTTCTGCACGTTCTTTGGTCCGAAATCACTTCATACCCGACCGGGTATATGGAATACCCGACCGGGTATTTGCTAGTTATGCAGCAGTTTCCTTTGTCACTTCATACCCGGCCGGGTAAAGTCCATACCCGACCGGGTTTTACATAAAACTCAGGTTTTTCCATCCTTCTTGCTTCCAAATCTATCCTAAACTTATAGCTCAACTAACTATAACTTACAACAAACAATAAAATGCTAAAAATACGATTACAATCAAATGTAAACTAACGACTACAAACTTGCATAATACTAGTAAATAAATATTACAAACGATAATAAAAATGTACACTTTAGGCACTAACAACTAGTGCCTATCAGTGGACAGTAAATAATACTGTTTAGTATTATCAACTCGCTTTTTTCCTTTGACTGTATGCCAAACTTTTCCATACTTATCTCTCCAGAAGTTTGAAACTTTTGACCACTTGCGATTTTTGCTTAGTATCATTTCAACAATGGAGTAAATAGCGTGGTAATTTCCAGAGAATGATTTGCCTCCACGTTGGTTTATAAAGTTTACAGAAATAACAGTCATACAATGTGATAGTCTAAAATATGGGTACTCTCTTCGTCCTAATAGGATTATTCACTTAGTTTATAGTCTTGGTGTTATTTTTTACTTCACCTGTTACATATATATAGTATATCTTTAAATTGCTTATTTATTGTTTATATTCAGTCCCTCCTCCCCCATGTCTGAAAAACCTGCAATTTCATTTGTAGAATATGTTTAGTGAATTTATCTTAAAGAATATATTTTCAGCCCTCCTCCCTCCATATCTACTTTTTTTACTTAACTTGACAATAGTTAATAAATTTAGCCTGAATTATGTTTTATTTATCTATTTTTTAGTTTCTTTAAAGAAATCAATACTCTTCTCTTTAAATTTATAGAACCTGGCTATCTGCTATCTAGATTAAACTAATACGTACTACTTAAATGGATATTCGACATTCCTTTACCCATTTTCATCAAGGTATGTCAGTTTCCCTTTTGTATGTATTCAATTTTCATATGATTTGAGGATTTGATACAGCCTTGGAGCCATTTGAGGTTGATAAAGGAAAATTGGCTGCTTCACATTTCTCTTTAGATGAACTTGATAAAACCTTTATTGGAAGAGGGAGATAGTTCTTGATTCTAAAAGGCATCTTTAGATGATTTGAGGCACATTAATTTAGACTTGAGGTTATCTATGTTGTCTCTATTATAAGAGCAGTAATTGTGTTAGGGACCTACATAGAATAATAATAATAAATGAGAATAAGAATAATATTAGAATAGTTAGTATAAATAGAGGTGGAGGGTAGAATAGAGAGGAGGCTGTTTGACTCTTAAGTCTGTACTGGGAAGATCAGAGTACTATCTCTATCTTTTGGGGGCTTCGGCCATGTTCCCTGTTCAATAAAACTTGCCTTTTGTGTTCTTGATCAATTCTGTGAACTGTTGGTATCAGAGATGGCTGATCACTGTTGATGGTTTGGTCGCGCGGAAAAATGGAATCACGAGTGGACGAGTTGGAGAGGAATCATCAACAAACTATGGAGATGTTGACAGCGATTCTCGCCAGATTGGATGCGAGAGATCAAGAACGATTGCGAAGCAGGTCACATGCATCTGCCGCATCGCATCACAAATTACTCACCAGTTCGCAGGAGTCGCGAACTATTTCTTCTGGTTCGCAGGTGCAGACGTCTTCTGTTAGTTCGCAATCGCGAACAGAGTCTTCCTCATCATCGCACACATCGCATCACACTTCTCATCATCAACGTACGCAACATTCGACTAACTCAGAGGCATCCGAAGACCGATCGAGGAACAAGAGACATCATCCGCCATATGACAAGCAAAGTCCGTCGCAATCGTTCACCAGTTCGCTGTCGGAGTCGCGAACTGTTTGTAGTTCGCAATTGTGAAATACTTCTTCACTTGCTATCAGTTCATGTTCAAGAAAGACGCGATTGAGAGGAGAATCTTCATCTTCGCCATTAGATTCTCACTGTTCGCCTTCTTCGTCTCAAATAGCTCCTCTGAGTTCACAAGCAATTTCTTCCGGACCTCTGGTTTCTAGGCGAACAGAAGACCCCAGTTCGCAATATCCATCTGAGTCCCCAGATTTGCGGCAGGAGTTCATTAATCAGCAGAATGGCGACAAGGAACACAAGGAGAAATCATCAGATAACCTTAAACATGAAGCTGGTGCAGTTGCTGGATTACCCAGGCGTAAGATTTTGTCCAGGTACGATCTGGACCAGTCAAACCTTGAAATGAATAGGTTCAAGCTTCTTCAGGTAGGTGATATTTCTTCTCATCATTTACAGCAGATGAACTGGCCAAATGTCTTCAACACTGAAATGATGTGTTTTCAGTCATCAAACATTACGTTAGAAGGATTGAACAAGTTTGATAGTCTTAGAGTGGAAGAGGTTACTTCTCTGAAAAATATTCAAAAAGAATTGGTGAATTATGTGTGTATGAAGAAGTATGCCTTTGTGGGGCAGATCAAGGAATGACATACTCTAAAGACATGTTGTTGAACCACTGTGTATTTTCCAAAAACACATATGGAGATCTTGAAATAGCTAGACAATTGTATGAAGGAGAGTTCATTTATGTGGGAACAAACTACAAAAAGGAGTATATGTTTATCAGTAAGGGGTAGTGGTGTGTCTGTTCGTTATCTAGGACATTTGACTGAAATTCCTCCCAAAAGCAAAGCTGTGGATGACAAGGGAATCGATACCTCTGAACAGTCATTATGCATTTCAACTTATGTTTCATTAAGTCAAGAATGCTTTCTTTCTAAACACAAGATTTTCAAGCTTCTATGTTGGAACTCCTCAGATTTTGGAACTCCTCACTTGGCTGGAATCAAGGTGATTCTGGACTCTCCTATTCAGGCTGCTATACTTGATGTCTCTAAGATAGAGTACCCGGTGGTTTTATCATTAAAACCAGAAAGTGTTCAAATTTTAAAAGCAAGTAGTTGTTGATTTCTGAGTTGCAGCAGGCTGTGCCTTATCCTCCACGGAATCTGAAAGTATCAATTTAGACATTTGCAGATTAACTTAATTAGTCTATTGAAAATGAGAATTGCAATTTCAAAAAGTTACTCCATATGTGATAGGTAGGCTGCATATATTTTGCATCTTTACTTTCATTTTACAATGAGCCAACCTTGAATAGCATATATCTTGTCTCTATTTGTCATGCACTAGTAAAAAATGGCTTATAGTGACACTAAAAAAGTGTCACTAAACGATTTAATGACACTTTGAAAGTGTCACAGACAAGCGGGGCAAGTGACACTAAATTTAGTGTCACTGATTGCTAAACAGATTAGTGTCACAAAATTATGACAATAAAATATCACATAAATTTATGACGTTATAATATCATAACTTTTTTTGACACTATGGTATCATAAAGATATATGATATATTAGTATCATAACTAAACATTGATTTCAATATATATATATATATATATATATATATATATATATATATACATACATATACATATACATATACATACATATACATATACATATACATATATATGTAATATAATTTAATACTAATAAATAACCAAAATTCAAATATTTTTATTTATGTCTCAATTTCTCACATAAATGTGAATGTACATACTACATAATTCATGGGGGCACATCCCGAAACAACAACTAATATACAAGAAAAAACGCTAACAAGTTTAACTTTTACACCACACTTCCTAGGGCCTTCACATATCTCTTTTGCAGATTTGCACAGAATGAAACCAGTTCTTATGCTACCAACTTCATCGTTTGAAACTTCACCTACAAACTGGACATTACAGTTACCACACACTAGTTCAACTTAGTACATCTTTCCTATAAATAAGCAAAATTTCAACTCTAAATTACCAAATAAAACAACTAAGCAAAGAACGGAATTACAAAACGCAACAGGCTGCTCCCAAAATTCTAAACAAGAAAATAAACAAAATTTACAAAAACATAACACAACTACACAAGTAAACTAGCAGTATCATGCTACTTGCATGCTGAAAATATGAAATTTTTAGTAAAACAAACTTACCCGTCAAAAGGCGAGTAGCAGAAGCCAAAAGCTAAGAAGCGCACATTTGAATATCAATGATACCTGACTTAAAAAAAAAAGAATATCAATGATACCTTGATATACAGTTTAATTTCATCCATATAATCCTACAATTTCAACATGGAGGCTACACTACAGAGATTCCATGACTTTTTGAAAGCTATGGACTTTTTAAATTAAATTATTTATACATATTCAAATTCCTATGGAATAGGAATCAAGCAAAAATTGACAGATAGACAATTAAGTCTGTTACTTAGTGAAGAATTGTCGCCTTCAAAGTTTAATTAAGTAGCTGCACTGTTTTGTTCAAAGTCCCAACCAATAAAGTCCATGAGCAAATCTTTCAGCTTTCTAGTTTGTTGTAACAAGCAGTCAATTTGATGTTGATCAACATTCTAAGTAGACCCAATAGCATATTATATTTGTAAACTAACAATAAGAAAATGAAACCTTTCTCAAAAGGCCAATCTAATAGAAACACAATAAACAAATAATTGAGAACAAAGCAGGGGAGGAGGGGAGGATTCTGTGTTTCAGATGGCTGCAAGTAGTCACAAACATATATATTGGCTAACCAAGGAAGAAATACTCTTCGAGTAACCAAAGCATGAGAAGTATTGCATAAAGGATAAAGCCTGGAGGTCAGCCTATTATGAGCTCCAACAATTGCATACCTTTACAACTCTAATGGAAGAAGTAAGAGGTGTTCATCTGAATTGAAACAAAATACAAGCACGAGTAAAACATAAATAAATTGGAAATTCAAATGAAATGAGAAGCACAAAAACCTGGAATAAACCCGACCGATTCACTCTGCTTAGGTTGACTGAACGCAAACAACCGATACACTACATAGTGTATCCAGTTTACCTAAAAAGGGAAAATAGAGTTGTGGTTGTGTCTGTCCTCAGATAGAGTATCATCACTGAACAGTTATTTTGGCAGTTTTAAAAGTAGGATCTGCAAGAGTTTCTTCATTTCCTACTTCAGCCTCAAATTCATCATTGGCAGAAGGGTGTTCGCATAGAGCAACGTTTACTCCGGAATCCAACATACTACCTGCAAAAATTGCATTTTTGCAGGTAGTCGCAAATGTTTCAACAATAAGGAAAATATCAATAGCAGCGGGTATTAAACCAGAGTCAATTGAAGCAAACTGGGCTTCAAAATCAGCTAAGTCAGTGTCAACAGGGCCTTTATCAATAGGAGAAGCTAAATCAGAGTCAATTGCAGCACGATGCGCTTCAAAAAAAGCTTTATTAGTATCAATTAGGACAATATCAGTACCAATAAGGGCAATATAAAAGGCAGCAGATAGCGTCATCCGAGACCAGTTTAGCATCACAGGAGGAAACTAAGAGATCATCACAAACCACAATAGCATTACAATTTGGGCACCAACAAGAACAACCGGGTCTGTTAGATTGTTCTTAAAATATTGAGTGACAAATTGAAATAGAAAAGTAAGATTTGATATATTGTAATATCACATAAGTATAATAAGAAAGTACAGTATCAAATGACTTTCTTTCATGCTATCTAGGTTCGCTTTGGAAAATGAGCAAGTAAAAAAAAACCATATACCATGATATCACATTTAACTGAAAGCATCACCTCCCTCCATAGCCTCTAAGATAAGACAAATGTATTTAGAAGAAAGGAGTAATAAATAAGAAATGATATAATTATAAAAACAAAAACATACATGATTATTGAGGGAAAAATGAAATAAATAAAGATTAAGATGCTTCTAAACCGTTGAATTGAGCCCTCAGTTTCACCAAATGGTTTACCAAAACCAGAGGAAAGAAAAGGTATTCACCTGAATTAAAGAAAAATAAAAGCAAGAATAAAACATAAATAAATTAGAATTAGAAATTCAAATGAAATGAGAAGCACAAAAACCTGGAATTAACCAAACTGATCCACTCTGCTTAGGTTGACTGAACGCAGACAACTGATACACTGCATAGTGTATCGAGTATACCTGAAAAAGGAACAATATAGATGTGATTGTGTCTGTCCTCAGATAGAGTGTAGAGTATCATCACTGGACAGTTTTTTGCAGGTGTAGTATCAGTTTTGGCAGTTTCAAAAGTAGGATCAGCAAGAGTTTCTTCATTTCCTACTTGAGCCTCAAAATCATCATTGCCAGTAGGGTGCTCGCATAGAGCACCGTTACTCCGGAATCCAGTTAGTACCTGCTGAAATAAACTCACCTCTATTAGAACAAAATCAGAGCAAATCTATAACCACATTTGAGAAAGAAACAAATAAACTCTTGAAAATAGTAAAAAAGGAAAATTTTAAATAAACTAAAAATGGCCCAAGAAAATAATGCATGTCTAGTTGTCTAAAATTAGGTAATTTTATCCAATTTCAGAAGAGATATCACCAATCCAAATGCATCACTTCTGCTCCAAAGATATCACCAAATGTCACCCTATCCCTAGCTCCTATTGAAACTTCTCAATTCTTTACTTAACTTATTGTAGTTGGGCTTGACTTTATACTGCTAATAATATACTTCATATGAAATTCCGTTCAAAATTCAATAGTTTGAGTTTTCTTGTGATCTGGATACAACGTGGACATCATGCAACTGTGAAATCTGCAAAATCAAATTTAAACTAAATAGGAATGAAACAATTACTCTATGCTGGCTATAAACATCATAATTAACATGAATTGATTTGGAATCACAAATGGATGAATGACAAATCAAATGGGTGCAACATGATATCAGTCACCTCTAGATGTTCTCATAGAAAGATAACCTGGGATAGTGGGATTGGTCCCTAGCAAATCAACAATCAGAAACTAAAGAGATAAGATTTGGCAAATAACTTAACCTTGAAATTCTATTTCCAATCAAACTGAATAAAACCAACCAATTGACTCGTCTCAGCCCAGCCAACCACAAACCATCTTTAGAATTTGATTTGGAGAGAAGGGTATGGCGAATAGCGGAAAACTGTAGCTGACGATGAACAGTAAAACCGCACAATCGACAACACCGGTTTTCCGGTAAACAGGAAAATCAGTTTCAAGATTAGCAGTAAAGTTCGCGAATTAGGATGTCGTTTCTTGAATTTCTGGCCTTAAACAACTCCTTCCAGGTCCAATAGAGATCAGAAAAGGGTTTAGAGTTTAATTACAGTTCGGAAGAAGCAAGAAAATCAAGGACAAACCTGGAAATCCATGGAGACGATGGAAACCTTCTTGACGCGAGAATCTGGGATGAATCCCAGAGAGAGCAACTCCCAACGTTGCTTCTAGAGGATGCCGTGTCACCAGTTTCTTAGTAGCAGAAGGGGAGCAATGATAGTGGCTCATGATGACTCTCTAGGGACCATGATCGTGGAAACTCTGGCTAGGGTTCTGCGAGTGAAGAGAGAAAGAGTGATGTAGAGCAGAGAAAGAAAATAAATTTTAGGTGTTAAAATTGAAAAAATAATGTTAAAAGAAAATAAAATAGGGTGTGAACGTCACTATCTGATAATGATACTATTGTGTCAGAAGCTAATGACACATATATATCATAAAAAAGATATGTCGTATTTTAGTGACACTATATTAAAAAGTGTCACTAACAAAATGTCATTATAAGTCTGTTTTCTACTAGTGATGTCATTATAGAAATATGTAATGTTATTTACGAGAGATGTTAAAAAACCTATTACTACGTATATAAATATGAATGATTAGTAGTATCAATTTGTTGTGTTTCCCATATTGGTCCCCAGAAGCTAATGAACCAGTGATTTTAAAAGTGTGTTGTTGAAATATGCAACATGCATAAATTTGGATTCAAGCACTCATATATTGCATAATGATTAAAGTATGAATGAATTATTAAAGTGCTTTGTCTTAACGTGCATATATGGCTGTTTAGGCTTTCCTTATGAGGGAGGTATTTGGATGGCCTATTTTTACCAGTTACATCATATGCCATTGCATATGGTGTGTGTACCCCATCTATTTGCAAAGGACACGCAAACTGCTGTGTGCGCTCAAAAAAAAAATCTTATGTGTCTATATTTATTTATGATCTATATAAAGTATCGTGATAATTTAAGTTTTGAATCCTCAATAGAAAACTTTCAAACACAATTATAGTGTACATAGGCTGTGTAACGTAGTAACATGTACACAATTTACCAAAACTTGTGCCCGAAACATTTTTGAAAGAAACAAAATGCGAGGTCCACCTTTCCGGATGAGGCTACCCTTGTTCTAAGGTGCAGTGCCTCTTACAGATATCCAATAGTTTGCCAAATTGTGTCACTTTTTGAAGCTTTCTTCCACACTCTAACATGACGGGAATGAAGGGATTGCTTAGCATGCAAGTATGCCCTGTTCCTTGAAATCTTGGGTCCAGTTTAGAAGTGTAAAGAGAATTGAAATCCACCATTCCTCCCCCCTCCCATCCCATCATATATATGGAGCTAATTCTTATCATAACTGTACATTAATAAAGATACAAAAAACAGATAAATCTATTTTATAAGTATTATATTACTCACCAATCACCATTGCCGTCCAACCAAAGCTAGAAAATTATAAAATTAAATTCCAACTCTAGAAGCATGGCAACGATTCCTCTGTTTTACGCTTCATTACTCTGCTTTCTCTTCATTTTCCATCTTTCAGGTGAGGTAATAATAATAAATTAATAATACAAGCTAATATTTTTATTGCTTTTTTTGCTCAATTTAGTAACTAGTTATTAATTAATTAATTAATCCATCAGAAGCTCAGTCATTTATCGGAGTTAATTACGGCCAAGTGGCGGATAATCTTCCGGCACCGGAGGTGACCGCTAAGCTACTGCAGTCAACTACAATCGAAAAGGTCCGGTTGTACGGGTCTGACCCGTCCATCATCAAGGCTCTAGCGAATACCGGCATCGGAATCATGATCGGGCTGGCAAATGCCGACATTCCGGCGATGGCCACCGACCCCGGATTTTCGGAGAGATGGATACGTTCAAATGTGCTTCCTTTCTACCCGGAGAGCATCATCACGACCATCAACGTCGGAAATGAGATCCTTTACTCCGGCGACCGGAGTCTGATCGCGCAGCTCTTGCCGGCGATGCAGAATCTGCAGAATGCGCTGAACTCGGCCTCAATCGGAGGGAAAGTGAAGGTGTCCACGGTTCATGGGATGTCTATGCTGATATCGTCGGAGCCGCCGTCGTCCGGGAGGTTTGACCCGGCGGTAATTGACTCTCTGAAAGAGCTGCTGGGGTTCTGTAAGGCCACCGGCTCTCCTTTCCTCATCAACCCTTACCCCTTTTTCGCTTACCGGAGTGACCCCCGGCCGGAAACGTTAGACTTCTGTCTCTTCCGGTCCAGCTGCGGCCGTTACGATCCCGGCTCAAGTATAAACTACATGAACATGTTCGATGCGCAGGTTTGTCATAGGTGGTGTGTGCAGTTTTTACTTCAAATTATGCTTCATTGTTTTGACTTTTTACCCTTTTAACCATCTCATATCTATATTACCTCTGTCCAAATTGTTCTTCCTAAATCCTACCAATGTTAAAGTTAAATGATACTCATTAATAACCATTTCAGTTTTAATAATTAAAATTTAAATATTGAGAAATTACATGAAAATTTCTATAAAGTCGCAGGATCCAAAATAAACATTAATTAAGAATCGGTATCCTGAATAAATTGATCCAAAAACTCAATTTGGAAGTATATCACTGTCTTTTCATATTTTATTATACTCCTTACTATATGAAAGTACGGAGTATTGGAGCAAAACAAGTTATTTTGCAGCTAAACAAGTTATATTATAATTGGACAATATGTTCAATACATATTACGTAGTATGATTTAGAATTTAATTAATAACTTACTATTATTATTGTTTTGAATGTACTAACATATAATCTTATATACTCGAGGAAAAAAGTTATGGTTTGATTTTAATTGATAGGTAGAAAAATAAAACATCCATGCCGTACTAGAAGTTGAATTAATTTAAAATGCTTTTGTCTATTGCTTGTTTCATCATATGTAGCTGTCTATAACATTTGCTAAAGTAATTAAATATGATGTCTATTGTTTAAACAAAACGGAGTATAACATTGACATGCAATGTGAATTTATATAAAGTAAGATAAGTAAAATATAATACTACCTTCATTAAGTTCTTTTTTAATTGCACCATTGGTGAATTTTACACTATTCATCACGTGCTCTATTTTGACTACATTTTATTTGTTAATGTATTATAAATTAAATTTTGATGAATAAGGAATGAAATATATTAATGAGGAATGAAATATATTAATGATCAAATTTGTGTGTTGGCAAACAAGAAATTTGGACTATTGCAACCCAAAAAGAACAAAAGATGTATACAGATTCAATTACCGATTTCTCAAACTATATTATGCTTAAATTGAAATTTAAGCATGGAACGAATAGGATTATTTCTTTTATGGACCAAATATTACATTGTGAAGGCGTAGTAAAAATAAAACTGATGAATTGGTATATGCTTGAGCAGTTGGATGCGGTAAGAACGGCGTTGAATGTGATTGGGTTCAAAGAAGTGGAGATAGTGGTTGCGGAAACGGGGTGGCCATACAAGGGTGACGAGAACGAGGTTGGTCCTAGCCTAGACAACGCCAAGGCATATGCTGGTAACTTGATTTCTCACTTGAGATCTATGGTAGGAACCCCATTGATGCCTGGAAAATCTGTCGACACTTATCTCTTTGCATTGTACGATGAAAACCTTAAGCCTGGACCTACTTTTGAAAGGTTCTTCGGGCTCTTCAGCCCTAATTCATCCATGAGCTACGATGCTGGACTCTCAAAGTCATCCACTCATGAGGTAGGTAGTCCATAATACTACGTACTTGCATTTCAATTTAAAGTTATAGTTAAATCTAAGTGCATGTACCTCGATTCAATGTTGATTTCATAAAAGTAATAACTCATGCGCCCGACTTATATCTTATTTTGTTGAAATTTTGGCACACAAAGGTCTCCAAGTTTTTCATATTGCTTAAACTTGTTGATCTTATATCATATCGATGTGTGCCAACTATTTCAACATTGTCTCACGAACACACTTTGTCTAGATCATTTGATTATTCATTTTTACCAGTTCCGGTGACACTGTTCAATCATTTGTTCGTTATAGTCATATCATTGATTCATAGTCAATTCAGCTCCACAAACCATGGCTATAAATCTGATTATCTCTAATACCATATCAAGATTTGAGTTCTATACTAAGAAGTTGGTTTATTAAGAGGAGTAATTGAGATGTTATACTAGTATATAATAATACATCCGTCCCAAAACGATTGACCAATTTGACTTTACTTGATCAATGATGTTAAAGTTTAGACAATGATTTTAGGCATTACACTTTGGTTTGCTTTATAAATTTTGTACTTTTATGAAAAATTTTCTAATAAAGAATATGCTGATATAATTTTCATATTTTAAATAATTTTGTACGGAGTATTAAAAAATATCATTGGTCAAAGTTGACTACCATTGATAAAAAAAAGTCAATTTGGCCAATCTTTTTGGGATGGATGGAATATTAAATTATAATTTTATATGACACCAGTACAAATACTTTCGCAACATAAAAAACTAAACTACTTTTTAAAGATTGATTTCTTACGATAAGGAACATGTTTACCATGGTATCAATGTCAACCATGAAGAAATGTACAGTTCATGTCCAAATGTTAAACATATACATCCTTTCTAGGTGTAATGTCTGGCCATGGGGGGATTGTACGTGATTTGTGAAGTATATTTTTTCACTTTCCCATTAATGTGATGGGCGAAAACAAGTAAACAACTCTTACACTGAACACATGATAAATTTTGTCTATTGAATTCATGTATATATAGACTCCACAATCAAAGCCGAAAATTGCACCACATGATGGTTTGTGGTGTGTGCCAAAAGAAGGAGTAACATATGCCGAGTTGCAAGCGAATTTAGATTATGCTTGTGCACAACCCAGCATTGATTGTACCCCAATTCAGCCGGGTGGAGCTTGTTTCATGCCAAACACGATCACATCTCATGCTGCTTATGCCATGAATCTCATATATCAAACGTCAGGAAGAAATTCTTGGAATTGCGACTTCTCACATACAGCAACCCTCACCTCCAACAATCCAAGTAAGTTAATTGGTCTCTTTTGCCTCACCTACATATGATTATTATAGATTCTTCAATTCCAATCTTAAACGACAATCTTAAAAGACTGTCGGTAAGACAAGCATTTGATTATTCACTCATTGTAGTGACATTTTTATATGTTTTCAATCCCTAGGCTATGATGGATGTACCTATCCTTCTGCACACTCATGACGAGAAGCAAGCAATCTTCAACTGGTATTTGGGGTGCGCATGGTAGATGTTTGATTTATTTGTTGGAGTGATTTATGCTTAATGGGGATTAAATTTGAAAGTTGATGGCCGGTTATTCCCCTTACATTTGAATACTTCATTTCATATGCGTGCATTGATGAAAAATAACAAATTCATATAATGTTCTATGTGTGATGTTTTTCGTAATATTTCATGTATATTAATTAAAAGTTACGTAGTATTATGTTTTCAATTTTTCTTTCAAAGTTCTTTATCCTGGTTTGGGATAGAAATGATACCAAAAATGATTTAATTGCAGTATTCATATAAATGTGTAAAATAAATTCATATAAAAGTGTAAATTATATTGATATAGAACTGAAACTAGAATATTCTTGTAATATCATATTCAAATGTTGATGTTGTTCAGGATAGTTAAAGATTGTATTGTTTAGGAATGTATAGTCTATGATTAGTTCCTGGATTCGGCAAGACGTATAAATGCATGATATCGTACTTAACAAGTGTATAACTTAGATTAATTTGGTGTTCTGAACGGAAAATACAGTTGACTTTAATTGACATGTTACTCTAATTAACATACTCTAGGAGGTTAGCATTAAAGGTGTAAAAATCTAGAATATAAACCAACCAAAATTTCGTATAAAAGTGTAAAACGTAACGAATTCATAGAAAAGCGTAGACTATATTGAAATAGAACTGAAACTACAATACCCATACTCTTTTCGTCCTTGAGAATTGAACCATCTCAATCATATATGAATCACATAAATTATTGTTGGTAGAGACAGTTTAGTAGCCCACTTGTGCATTACTCTAAGCAAAACTATAACCTTTTCATCACATAAATAGAAAGTTCACACATTCTTTACATGATGTTATATATTTTCAATTGTTTTTAATTCACAATGTCAAGCATATTGTTTAGATCTTGACATTTTGAATAAAAAGTAACAAAATATGCCGTAGTAAGATAGTAAGCAACTTTTTATTAATTAATTTTTGTGTGTTTTATTATGACATTGAAAGAAAGTGCCCGGTCGGATTTTTTTATAGTGTAACTCTCTAAGGAATGATGTTTGACTTTGAAAAGTCCATATCTTATTGAAGCTCATGAGCTCTCACTATACCACGCCATGTAATCTTGTTTTGGATTATTCAAATGAATAAGAACAACTTCATTTTTTAAACCACTAATTTATTAAGAAAACGAGAGGAATACAAAAGTAGGACATAACAAACCAAAGCCTACACAAAAAGAGTACAAAAGGATATGATGATAAGGAGGGAAATTATTGGACAACATAAGGATAGCCTATGGCATCAAATTTCAAGATATAAATTTAGGGGTGCGTGGGTTATGACCCTCACTCATGAAATTGGCAGCACGATTAGCAACTGTATGGTTGACCTCGAGGGTGATGAATTGTTGTTGCACGATTCTCCAAATGCGTGTTGTAGTGTATATGTCGTCCCAATAGTTGGCACAGTGAGTTTTCATTGCCTGTCCGACCTTCTTGTCGTTAATTTGGCTAGAGTCAATCATTAGCTGTTTATTGCTCCAAAAAAACATACAAAATGTAACTAATGAGGGCATACTAAGGAGATTTGTCAGTAGTATTGCGACAACCTTGGGCAATTAAGTCACCTTTGTTGTTGCGGATCAAAAAGGCCGTACAATGGTGAAGGCCATTATGGGTGGTAGGCCAAATTAATGGTAACTTTGTCTTTAATCGGGCGATTATTCCATCTAACTATTCTACACTTAGCTTAGGATGAACGGGGTCTTTCTCATGCTTGTGATTGTGGGAGCAAGTGATCAAATCTTTTTTGATATTTGGTCTCAGATTGAGAGATGATCTTGTCTTGAATTAGATGGGCATTCCTCATTTTCCAAAAATTCCAGAGAATGCTAGCATATATAAGTAAGGAGGTTGTGTTTTTTATTAGGGGTGGGCGCGGTCCGGAACGGTCCGGTAAATTAGTAAAACCCGTAATGTACCGTGAGATTTTTAACGGTCCGGTACGGTCCGGTTTCAAGGATGGAACCGTTCGGTACCATGTCGTTGCGGAACGGTACAAAACGGTACGGTACAATGTCAAACACATACTAAAAAGTTTGAACAAATCATGCAATTAGTAGATATCATCACACCAACAAACTCACATGTAATGTTGATATGAATACAAGAAATTGCAAATATAGGACTAAAATTCACAAATAAACAAATGGTGCAACACAATTAAGAAAGGGTATAGCAAAACGATCATGCACGAGATAAATATCATCTTTAATTTACTTAGTTCATGTGAAAATATAAAAAAGAATATCATCAAATTGTTGAATATAAACCATATTAATTAAGTTGTAAAATTGCACAAAAATGATACAACAAAAAGTCATGTACGCTAGCATTACTAGAAATGAAGTCATTAATGATTTCTCTAAAATTTAATATTCTTTCAATACATACCAAAATATAACATAAATTATCTAAAAAGAAAAATAACAATATATATATATTATATATATAAACACACACATTTAGCTATTTTAAGGACGCACAAATACATACTTGAGCTATAAAATTGTTGGTCTATTAAAGAAATCTATTGAATTGGTATAGAAAAATATAAAAAAAATTCAAGTGCATTATTTTTAAACGGTTCGGTCCGGTATTTTCCGCTTCTCAAAATCTAGGACCGGTCATGTACCTGTTTCAAACGGTATGGTTTCGGTACGGGACAAAAATATATAGAACCGTTTAAATACCCGGTATTCGGTTCGGTACCATTACGGGAGGATTTGGTGCCGGTTCGGTTCGGATTTTATGCCCGCCCCTAGTCGGATTTTATGTCCGCCCCTACTTTTTATAAGGACAACTCCATTTATATATAGCCAAGTGCTTGGGTCGGTTTTGCAATTAAATATTGCCCGAACAAAATATTGAGCAGAAGATTACTTTAATTTCTTCAGTTGTTTGTTTGCATTGGAGCTATTTAATCTAAGCAAATAGGTATTTGAAAGTGGTTATATACAGTTTATACCATTTTGTTAACAATATCCGTTGTCGTCCAGCGGTTAGGATATCTGGCTTTCACCCAGGAGACCCGGGTTCGATTCCCGGCAACGGAACTTTTGTTTTATGTCCGCCCCTACAATACAACATCACAACCGTTTTACTGTTTCATAGCCAATCCTTTATCTTTCACTTTAAAATTTAAAATATCGTAATATCTTACGGTGTAAAAACTTATTTGTATTTGACTTTTAGACACTTATATTACTTTATTTACATTTTCACCCCAATTTCTAAAGATCACTCCAAAAAGTAGTCCCTGTAATCTTTCGTTAAGACTCAAAAATATATACCGAGTCAAAGTACAATTTGTTTCAAAATACGTATGAAAAGCTATGGTATGAGTAATTAGTTCAATTTTTTTCATTTCAAATTCAAATTTTCTGTGTGTTTTTACAAGAAAATGTTGCTATTTAATTAGAAATAACATGGGAATATATACGGTGTACATGGTGTACAAAATTTGTGTACCTTTAGCATTTTTGTCTTTAAAAAACTTGAAAGAAGGCGCAAATTATATCGTGGGATCGGCCCACCATGTACATGGTGCCCCCGATCCCAAACAATATAGTTTTATTAACTAAAAAAAATAACGCTCTTAATCCCTACAGTTCACGATAGTGCTGCCGCGAAGATGGAAGACTGATTGGAGAAAGATAGTTCGCCTGTCGTCTGGGAAGAGAGAGCTCTTGGCCTGTCGTCTTCTGGAGACTGGAGTAAACCTTGCTCCGCATGGCGTCATCCTGGAGTAAAGCAACGACAATCATTGGTCGTTGGCCAAGCATGAGGAACGTTGAATTGGAGAGGGAAATTTATGATTAACCCCTTCTGGTTTGATCATAATTACTAGTACAACCTTGTAATTTTGGATTCCAGCTATATGCCCCTTGGACTTTGATTCTATTTGTTGTCTTCCCCTTCCATCAAATCCTATTAAGAAAAAAAACGACTCAATAACAAATATCGTTAAATAGACACTGTTTTGACCAATATACCCTTATTATTGATTATTTGTTCAACACACTCATTACTTTTTCTAATGCTACGTATATAATTGTTGCTTGAACTCTTCGCAACTCACTTGGTTCAAGAGTAGGACGTAAGCCCCACAATAGAACAATGTTTTGAAAATTAACTTCCCTGAATTGAATTTTTGGAGTTGCACTAGAAGCCAAACAATCCGGTCTCAGATCAATGATGTCTCCACTAGTGAGTAGTGAACCACAGCTCGTCTGATGTCTTAGTGGTTCTCACTGAACCACGGCTCAGTGAGTTGCACTATTTATTGTGATCAAGTTTGTCTAGAGTTTTGTTATTTTAATTAGGATAGTTTTATCTTTCATAGCTTTTATTATTATGTAATGAATAAACCTAACTAAGGGAATAGGGCCCAAAAAGGCCTTAGGCCCAAAGTTCTAGGTTACCACTTCGGTACTTGTACCTACGCCTATAAATATGCGTACATGTGGTACAAGACCGAATAATCAAGAATCAATAATCATATACAATACCTTTTCATTCAAAGTTCTCGTTTCTACTTTCTCGATAGTATGGCGTAAGGATTTCTTCTGTTCAGATTATTTCTCGATCATTATTATTTATTAAAAATCCTTCTCTATATTATTGTAGATTTCATTTAGCTGTTCTTTGATCTTGTTATTTGGGACCAACAACTAGTATCAAAGCCGATCGAGTACTGATCTTCATCGGAGAAAAGCTGCGAAGAAACACTCTGTTTTATCTTCTCGATATTTTCTTAAATCTGCTTTTGTAAACTTGTTTTTGGACATTTCTTTGTAAAAGTTATACTGCTGGATTCGCCTTTAAAAGACGAACCAGGAGTATATCTTCATTTTCGATACCTGTAATCTTTCAGATTTGAAGTTCTCGACATTGATATATCGAAAAGCAGGTTCTCGAGACACTCTCAAGGAGGATGTCACATGTTCGAAACTCATTACAGTTAATTAAGGATGTTGACATTTAACGGAACATATACTATAAGAAAAGAGAAACTAAAGCCATAAATGTAACAACTTAACATCTTAAATAGAAACTTCATAGTAATTATAACACCAAATGTTAATTTTCTAGTACTAGAAAACCAAGAAGAATCAACGTAACGATATTGAAATTAATGCTCAGTAGTCAACAATTTCATAATTTAATCAGCTGGGAATCCTGGGATTATTCCGCTTAGTCCGATGTTGAAAGAACAAAACCGAAGTGAACGACGATTCGATTTCTTTTTTTTGGCATTCAATTTTGAGTTTTCACGGTTTGACCTATTTTAGGCGCGATTCAACTTTTTGCGATTCAGTTTTCTATTGCTTTTAGAGAGTCCATCCTAATTGAGGTTGGGTGGAAATCTCCATAACACGTACCACGAAGTTATTGTTAGGTCCTTAAAATAAACTTATGAAAGGATGAAAACCTTATAGTTTGAGAACGTAGAGATTGTGATCGTTGAAACTGATTCTATATGTGATGAAATATACTCAATTATTGGGTTTTGGAATTACAACGGATTGTCAAAATGAATAAATGAAAGGAGAGAGTGAAATAGTTCGGCTGAAGAAATTGCTCAAGACGGATTTCTCCTAATGATAATACATATATATATATATGGCTTTGTATAGTTTCTATAGGTTAGAGGATAACCAAGTTCAGTGAACTTTGTTGACAGGGGTGGAGACAGGGGGAGGCTGGCGGTGGCCTCGGCCCCTGCAAGAAAAAAAATTGTGATGCATATATATGTATTAATATTTATGAGTACTAAAAAATATTGTGAAAATATAAGTTTTGGTCCCTGCTATATAAATTCCTTAAGCCCCGATCCCTGTAACTTGTCAATCCTAGTTCCGCCACTGTTTGTTGAGGCATTGCTCTTTGGGTTAAAAAGGCAACATACAATCCAAAATGCAATTTCTTAATGGGCCATATCGACACAATTTAGAAAATCCAAACTTTTAGCGTTTTAAACAAGTAATATAGTGAAAATCCAAACTTTTAGTGTTTTACACAAGTAATATAGTAGGACGTGCACAAAGACGTGTACAAATAGCGTGGATTGGACTAAACTAGAGGAATTTGAAAAATGCTTGATGTACACTTTTTGGTGTACACCTTTAGTACACTCGTCTGTCTCACAAACAATTCTATGTACGTGAAACAGACGAGTGTACGAAAGGTGTACACATTTATGTGTACACCTAGCACAACCCAATTTTCCTTTTTGTTTTGTTTTGTTTTTGGAAGGTATGTTCCTATGGAGGAGGCTTCGTACGCATTAGACCTTGGTTTATGCCCCTTCCCGAGTTCTCGTGTACTTATTTTAAAATGATTCTAAGAAAATGTTTCTTCAATCGTATCACAATTTTATTGTCCCAACAAACTTTTCATACTCATAGGCTTTTCCATAGTAAAGCTAATCATCAATCGAAATACAAAAACTGTCACTAAGAGAAATGCACACACCTTGTAAGGTATGTTTTCAAAAGATCTTTCGTCCCGTTAAACTTGCAAAGCCTTGTAATACAATCAAAATAAAGCACAAACAATGAGCTTCATTATGAAGCAAATATGCTTTTAATTTTCTAAAAAGGCCTATGAGTTTTTATTTCATCTTCCGACTTGGAACAGTTTTGCTTAATACACGCAATTAACAATCTTTTTTCTTCGCTTTAAAAAAAAAACAATCTTTTTATGAACCGATTGAAAAATATTTTGGTTGTGAAAGTTTCAATTTGTTTAAGTGCACTAACGAACATAAAGTTTTCCTATTCAAAATTTCATGAAGTGTTGATTCAATTTTTCAAGGTTTTGAATAAACTAGGAGTACATATAATTAATGGCCGGTTGCTTTCACTCAGATTATTATGAACGTGTTTGGCATTTAGCGGTTAGCGGATAACGGATTATGTTAGCAGATTGTAAATAGTCGATTCAATCAGCGGCTTTGACTAACGGAATAAGTTGACGGATTGTCAAAAGATGTTTGGTAATTTAGCTGTTTGACCATAAAATTAAAAGAAAACGTAATATTTCAAAACGCTAACCCAAAACACTCCTATTTGCAGCGTTTTCATTTCAACGGTTCCGTCCAAAAACACTTGTGTCGAACCGCTACTTACCAAACAACAATTTCACTTATTGAAAACGCCAAATGTAGTCATACTGTCATTTTTTGACTGAAACGCCATTAACAAACACCCCCTATGAATAAGAAGGCTTACGCCGTATTATGGTTGTTTTTATCCTGACACTTCACATCACAACATATGAACTCGGGAGATGGGTTTCCAATTTTCAATACGTAAGTTTTGGTTATACACTTAATCATACGCTTAGTCCTCCAAACTGTATTTGCTGTCAGATTTGGTCCGTCACCAAGAAATCTATCCATTTTTAGAACATTTCCACCTTAAAATACCCATCCCAGCAAGACACATATTGGAAGCGACCGTAGCCAAATTTTCCTCACTAGAAATGTACTTTCCCGTGATAAATTGCGTTATTACGGTGAACAAATTTATTAATTATAAGACTAAATAGGAAAGTTGGGAAATTTTTTGTTCCAAAGAAAGACGCACTAAATCTACATTTTTATCACAAACACTTATTGTGTTTTCACACTAGGTATATGTCAAACATCTCTCTTCCAATTAAATTTTGAACTCGCTTCTAAAAATATTACAGAGTATGATCTTATTTTTTAAGCATATCGGTTTTGAAATCTGAGCAGATCTTAACGTAACATTTCCAGCCATGTCATTCCTCATTACACAATGATGTTGGTGCACATTTTTTATATACATATTGTGTACACCCCTAATTATCTGTTTACACGACAATTCGTTCAGAAGCTACCTTGTAGGTACGTTGACAAATAGGGAGTATATGTTACTAGATAAATTGAAAATGTTAAACTTATGAGGAATGCGATCCAATGAATAGAGTTACAGAGAGCCCTTAATTATGAATAACTTCTAGCAACACGCATTAATGAAACTCTCGATGGATTAATACTCCATCCGCAGCATAACCCACTGCTCATATGGAGTGAACGGACAAACTTCTAGCTCCCAACTTTTCAAATCGAGAACGTAACGAGGGAACATTGGAATAACCTGAACTACAATTACCTTTTAATTGTACTTTTAGTACATAACCTTATCTACCTTATACATAAATCCAGATGAACACACATTATTATTGAAGCTACTCTTCAAAAAGCGAGTAGAACAACGTAATGAAGCATTTAAAAAATTCTTATCTAGTTGACTCGAATTTCTTAGACTTGGTTTAATAGACAAATAAATATAGTTATTGTCCTAAATAAAACTAATGTGTCGCTAAAAAGAACAAATAGAACTAGTACGAACCTTTTTAAATTTTCCAAACAGGACTAATTTTCTACCCTAAATACCCCTAAGAGTATTAATTTAATTTATAATGAAATGTTTTAATTCATAATAAAATAATAAAAAAATAATAAATCGTAAAAATAAAAAAAAATCGTAAAAAATTATAAAAATTAATAAAATATTTATAAAAAATTTTACAAATAATTTTTTTATTTAATTTTTTATTTATTTAAAAATAATAATGATAAGTAGTAAAAAACCATAAAAAAATATGGGTACCTTTCCCACCGCCTCTCAACATCCCCTCCTCCGATTGCTAAAATTTCTGCCACCTCCTGTAAAAAAATGTCATCTTTTCCCGAAAATTCAAGATGATGGCATAATTACTCTTCATTATGCCAATATTTTAATTGAATTTGCCATCATTATGACATTATTTAAAATGTTGGAAGATTTTCTACAGTGATGGGAGCTGGTGGTGTTGTGGGTGGCAGAGGTAGCAACGATTTTTTTTACGTTTTAACATATTAAAAAATTATTTTTTTAAAATATAATTTTTTATTTTATAAATATTTATATTTTTTTTTATTTTTTTTCTACATTTTATTTTATAATTTTTAGGGTTTTTATTGCTATTTTATTACTAAGACATTTTAAAAGCTACAAGGATATATTTGTCCAAACACATATAAAAAATATAGTCCTGTTTGTGTAATTTTGCTACTTTTTAGTCGTATTTAGAAAATTGACTCAAATAATTATGAAGAACCAATAGTAATGTACTCCCTCCGTCTCTCAATGTTTGTCCTACTTTCCCGAAATGGATGTCCCAAAATGTTTGTCCTACTTTTTTTTTTCCTTATTTGGCAAACAAATCTTTATCAAATAGTGTCAAACAGTGCAAAACAGTGTCAAACAGTGTCGCTACAGTGTCAAACAATGTCAAACAGTGTCGCTACAGTGTAAAGTCAAATTCATTTCCTTAATTGTCAAACTAGGACAAACATTGAGGGACGGAGGGAGTATATGAAAAGTAAGCTATTGAGGATGTTTTTTTTGGATTGTTTTCAATTCCAGACCAGACCAGACCAGACTTCCGTAGTTATAAAATACACAGGGACCAAACATTTACTAGACTAGATCATACCAGCAAATTTCAATCTAAAAGAAATTGACATAATGTGATCGAGATGTTATTATAGTTTACGTGGGGTCAAAGTTTTATACGGCGTACATTTTTTATCTACATTTTTGTATTTATAGAGCTACGTTTTTCTATCAACATGCACTTTTGTAACTATTCATACCAATTACGGAGTATATATATATAGCTTATCGATATTGAAATACGGAGTAATTTATACATTTTGAACATTCAATATATTGAAATGATATTTAGAACCCGTCTGATAACATTGAAATTAATTTAATTGATTGATTTTGTTAAAATTCATAAATTTCTGGTTGAACTAGTTGGATTAACTGATTGTCTTGAAAAAGTTACATTTAAAATATATACTGTCTCCATCCCGGAAAAGGTTCGCCAAATTGATTTTTCTTAGTCAATGCTAGTAAACTTTGGATAATTATTTTTATTATTATATTAGTATGTAATTTATAAATTTTATACTTATACGAAAATATGTTTAATAAGGAACATTTTAATATAATTTTTATATTACAAATAATTTCTTTTTAAAAAATATCATTGGTCAAATTCGGCTATCATTGATCAAGAAAAGTCAATTTGACAAACATTTCTGGGACGGAAGGAGTACTTTATTAATAAAATTAAATAAAAAATTATCTGATAAATAACTAAAATGGTCTTTTACATCAACTCTACTAAACAATTTAGTCACAAAGTAATTCCAACTTTACTTAATTCGATTATTACACAACTTAACGCGCAAAATAAAAAACTACATACTTGTACCACCAAATGGGCTCTTATTTTAAAAAAATTCCACATTCCATATACAAAGATAAAAACTATACTCCCAACTTTACAGCTTGCCGTGACATAATTGGGAAGTCATGAATGACGATTGACGGCCCTAACTTTACCAATGATAGTTATTTACCTGGAAGTCGCGACATAAAGTCCTCGGCATAGCATTAATGGCCGGTGCGAAAGCTTATACGGATTGGTCGCTTAACTGCACCTCATCCGATCCCTGAACTCATCGATCATTATCATCTCCGGCCATCTATCCATTATTCAACTGAGCACTTATATATACATACATGATGATGGCCATTGTTGGAGTTGAAAAACTACCCACCATTCTGTACATTGTTGCCCTTGGATCACTCATGGTTGCTTATCTGGTCATCTGCTACCTTATTCTCGACCATATCGGTGAAAGCGATGACGAGGAACCGCCCTTTCCAGCTGAAAGATTTTCTGGATTATCGTATGAAGAGCTGCAAGAAATAGGCTGTTTCTATTATGGTGCAAGGGAAGAGGCGGAAAGCTCGCCATCATCATCAATAATATGGTGTGCTATTTGCCTTGATAGTGTCCAGGAAGCAGAGCTGTGCAGAAGCTTCCCAGCAGGTTGCAGCCATGTCTTTCATGCCCATTGCATTGACCCTTGGCTCTTAAAAACACGCACTTGCCCTACTTGTCGGTCTCCATATATACACATCTCCACAACCAATAAGTTTCTGCGTTGAATAATTAATTTAAGCGCATAATTTATGTATGAAGTATATACATATATATAGTCGTATAGATAGATATGGCTGGCCAGGGAGTGGTTCCGGCAAGAATAGATCTTAGGAGAACAATGAGAACGAATCTGGACCGTTGGATTGTATTATGTGGAACCAAATTGTGCATTTGATGAAACTGAAGTATGCATTAAATGATATTGAAATGTGCAAAACAAAAATTTAAACTCAAGTGTACATTAGATTAAACTGATATGTGCGAAAACAAAGTGCAAAAATAACATCACATCGTACTTTTTATTCTGCATATTTCAGCTTCATCTAGTGCACATTTCAATTTCACGTAATGCACAATTCAACTGCACATAATGTCACTCTATCGTACCCATTGTGATGCACATTTCAATTTCACCTAATGCACATTACAGTTTTATCTAATGCACACTTAATTTCACTTGAAACAAATCTAACGGTCCAGATTCGTTCTCATTTCTCTCATAAGAACGTGTTCTTATTTGAACCAAAACCTGGCTGGCCATCTGATCTACCTAGCCGCTTGAACTGAAATAGTGTTTAAGAGTTTGTAAAGAGTTTTAAAGTTTCCATAGATACGACACACATACATTATGATGTATGAGAAGTATGGTAGTGCGTGAAAGTACTAGATAGTAGATACTCCGTAACATTTTGGTGATGGCTATGGTATATTAAAAATGGTATATTAAAAAATGATCATGGGCTATCACAGTTATCCTGCATTTCATTGATCTAAATCATTATTTTGTCATTTAATTATGTTTAATGTGAATATCTAATTGGTTGTGAATAATGTATGATACCTTGAGGTACCATAAAATTTGTCTTACTTTTAAATACGAAGTATATAAATGTGGATATCTATCTTAACCATGTAACCTTACATGTAGTTCCAGTTATTAGTCCAATAATCTTTCCGATTACAGTTAATAAGTTTCTCCATAGCATACTACTACTACGTATTATTTAAAGACTTATACACCGGAATATACAATTTCTAATAAAAAGCGCTTTCAAAAGTCAGCTTGATTTGGAACACAATTTCTTGCTAAAAAGGTAAATTTCGCTGATAAAGTCCTTCACATGGACAATTTTTTTTAGGCATATGACGAGATCTTCAAATGAATAATGCTATGAAATCACTCATGGATAACAATAAAATCTATAATTTTTCATATAAATGTTAAATTATTCATGTGATTCCATCAATAAGAGATTTTTCGTACAAATTCCATAACAAGTCAAGGAGGAAAAGGCCAGGGTGGAGCCAGGCACTAGGCCAGTACAAAGAAGAGAATATTACCCGAAATATGACTAAAAAGGTTTGAAAATTCCAAAATAGGATTGCCGTAGTTTTGTTCCCAAAATAGGACTTATTATTGCCATGTTTTGGCAATATCAGATTTCAAAAATGATAGTATTTTCCAAATTTGGCAGTAATTACTCTTAATTTCAGAATAAAAAACATGACAACCCTATTTTTGAATTTTCAAACTGTTTTAGTCCTATTTCTGGAACTTTTCCTACAAAGAAATATTTTTGAAAAAAATATACAAGATTTTTACCTTAATTTTTTTGACATTTTTGAAATTTGGGGCGAGTGAGAGCCTAGGATGGCCCTCCCCTAGCTCCGCCCCTTGCGAGGCGTACACCAATTCAGATCTAGGGGATGGAAAACATGGAGACATGTCTCAGACATCAACAAACTCTCTTGAATCCCACTTTGGCAAAAAGAAAGACCCCAAAGGTCGACATAAAGTAACAAGCTAGCTAGGAATGCAAGAAGACACAAGACTAACAACTATGCACCCAGAACTCTACTCTCCCCAAGTCGTAACAACATGGAGTGTATAATCAACCCAAAGTCCCACAAACCTCTCAAAAAATCTCCCTAATAAGTACTCCGGCACTTCATTAAGCCGATGACTTCATCAAGTGAGGGACATATATAATGGATAAAATTACCAAGGTCTGACCCACCGCCTCTTAAGCTTCCGGCATAGCAAGCCGTCCAAGCCCAAACCTCAACTCAGTACCTTAGTGAATACTGAACCTACGTCTATAAAAGACTCAGAATGATTTTTTCACCAATGTCTATGAAAGCTCAATTCACATTATTTTAGATGTCATCTTTTTCGAGGGGAGATCGACTAATTTGGCCCCTCGATCATGTGTATTGTTTTATGGCAACCCCGGACATGAAGGTATTTTTATTTTTATGAGCACAAAGAAAGTTTGATTCGTGGTTTTATACTACGTATTACATATTGGTCGGGTACGTTAGCAACTTCAGAGTAGAACTTTGGGGGTTCCATCAGGGCTCAAGCTCACAGCCCACTTCTCCTTGGCTGCTACTCTACATTTTCTCAAGGAAGCCATTTTATTTTCTAGCATACAATGCCTATACATAATACTCCGTACATAATAATACATCCATCAAAGTCATCATGATCCTTGAAACCGATGGCCCCAAGTTATGTTGTCTAATGTGAGATAATAAAGATGACCAAATTGTTTTTTGCTTCTCCTTTACCCAAAAAGATACTCCCTATTATTTACGGAGTACTATCATATTTTGCAAAGCAAAACTTGATGTATCCATATTTCAAGTTTCAACTATTCGGCTAATACGATCATTAGAAATAAATTGACTTTTTCAACAAGCATCAGTGGAACCTACAAGTTTTCAGAATTTAGAGATTATGATAACTGAAACTGAATTTATACTCCCTCTGTCCCCCTTTTAATGTCCCGTCTTACCATATTGGATTGTTCCCATTTAATTGTCTCATAGCTTATTTGGTAAAGTTTGTGTGGCTCAAAGTCATTCTTACTTTATTTTTACTTTATTAATTTATATCAACCACATAAACTCACTATTCTTAAAACTCGTGCCACCCTCTTCCATCCCAATATAAAAGAGATGGAGGTAGTATATACTATATAGGTGTGACCAAATATATACGTCGTACTCCGTATATATTATACGAGTAGAGATTACACTGGCTTTTGGGAAATACAACGGAATAACGGATTGTCAAAATGATCTCCCATCATACCTTTACCATCAAGTACAATTTCAGTACGTAATGAATTAAATGAGAGATTGAAATAGCTCGGCTGATGAAATTGCTCAAGAAGGATTTCTCTTAATGCTAATATATGGGTTTGTAAGTTTGTATGGTTTCTATATATATGGGTTAGAGGATAATAATCAAGTTCATTGAACTTTGTAATATTTGTAGAGGCATTGCTCTTTTGGGTCTTCTGGGTTAAAAAGGTGATGTCACAATCCGAAATGAAATTTCTTGATGATACGTTCTTCGCACTGCACATGTCCATTTTACACGTATAGATAATTTATGATGTTTTTATTTGTACCGTTTTTTAGTCTCAAATTAATTCATACCTCACTTCCATAGTTATAAATACACGGAGACCAAACATTTATCAGATCGATTCAGACCAGACTAGACTTAAACATATCAGAATAGCAAATTTTAATCCAAGTAAAAACATCCTTAAAGTATTTCACTTTTTTGTGTTTTTTTAAATAAGTTGCTAACAGGTGTACATATGTAAAATAATGGGATGTGTACAAAAATGTCTTCTAAAGAAATTTTATTTTCTTCATTGCTGCCCAATCACCAACTTCTGAACTCACTTGCGGTTGCTAAGCTTCTAGCGCTCTTGTTGTATTGATTTGTGTAAGTGTAATTTATTTTTATACGGGGCGTATTCTATCTTGGTTTATTCCCCTTCTGGCGTACTTGTGTTAAAATAATTCTAAGAAAATGTTTAATCGATTTTATTGCTCCGTATATATTTATACGGAGCACAAATTAGGGTGGGCTATATAGCCCATCTTGATTAACATTTTGCACTATTTGCATTGCGTGTACTTGAATAATGGGGTGAAAAGGGTTAATCAGTCCAGGTTTGGAGTGGGCCTGGACAGGTATGGCCCTAGGACCCTCCCTCACTCCGTGCATACATGTGATTACATTCCATTACCAAAACTACACGTAGAGACACTAATAAGTTTATATTGACAAACCTCCCTGTGATATTATGCAATGACAAGTCTTATTTCTTTGATAATTTGCAAACTTGTTACGTTACACAAGAGATGTATAGATGAAGATGGAAACTGTGGAAGTATTTCACTCTTCTCTGGATGCAAAGGGTTGGCACTAACAATCACCTACTGGACGATTAGACATTTTACACAGAAAAATTGTTGTTGTGGTTGTTAGTAAAGATTAAAGAGGGGAGTATATATTACTCCGTACTTTTAAACATAGTGTAAGGAAAAAAAATAACTTTAACGTGGCAAATGACTAGTAAGTACTTTGAACGTGTAAAAGAACATATTACCTTGAAACAATGGTTTACTTTCACTGTTACGAAGTATTAGTGTTTATAACAAGAAGTTAACTAGAAGTACACAAACAACACTTCTATGCACAAACGGAGAGTAAAAACTAGAGCAGATATTTGGTATGTCAGTTGCTTAGCTTTCATATTTTCAGTAGGAATCACAGGAAGTTACTTTGACTCATTGTTGTAAACATCCTCTGCATAATTTGTGTGATGCACGTACGAAACTTTTCATACTTTATAGGCTTTTCCGTAGAATCAGGCTAACCATCAATCGAAAAAAAAACTATCACTATGATAAATACACACACCTATAGTGCGTTATATTTTCAAAAGATCTTTCATCCCATTTAATTTAACTTACAAATGCCTGTAATACAATCAATATAAAGCAAATACAAGCAATGAGCTTCACGATGAAGCAAATATGCTTTTAATTTTCTAAAAAGGCCTATTAGGTTTTTATTTCACCTTCCAACTTAGAACAATTCAAGTTTGCTTATTACACGCAATTAAGAATCTCTTTTATTCAATGTGACCTCTACACAACATATATGAACTATTGAAAAACATTATATTCTTGTTTGGGAAAGTTCCATTATTTTTAAATGCACTAACGAACAAAAATTAAGTGTTGACTCAATTTTTAAAAGTTTTGAATAAACTATTAATGGTTTCTTTCACTCAAAGATCCAATGAGCATGTCGGTTTTGAAATCTCATCTCTTAACGTTACTTTGTTTTTCTTTTCT